TATATATATATATATGTATATATATATATATATATATGTATATATATATATATATATGTATATATATATATATATATGTATATATATATATGTATATGTATATATATATATATATATATATATATATATATATATATATATATATATATATATATATATATATATATATATATATATGACATCTCCAAAATGTGTCGGACCCTTGTACCAAAGACTATTGAGAACAACGAAATAGGAACTCTGGCCCAGTTCTACGAAAACAATATTGAGAACATCTGAAAGGACTTGCTCAGTATTGATTTTCACCCTTGACGGTCTATCTTTCGCATATAAAGTGAGAACAATCTGCGTTTCCCTTCTGACTCCAGAGTTCTGTGCACTCGGGCAGAACACGTGAAAAGAGCGTACATCCAGCACCCTGAGCATATAGCTTTGTGTCTGTAGCTTTTATATATGTGATATGGTGAACTGTTATATGCCCTTTGGTACTATTATTGTAAGGGACACTTTCTTTAACAATCAAAAAGTGATCCCAGGTTTCTATCCATAGCTGTGTGAATTTGAGAAAGGATAGTTTTGCGATGCATGGTTCTTCATCTGTATGGTAAGATGCCCATCAGATCAACTAATGATCATCTTTCCACACAGTGCGAGAAACTATCCTATTTTTACGATTCTGTGCTATGGAAACATTGCTAATCTGGTCACATATATATTGTCTGTGCAATAGCTGTTTCATGGGTCTCATATATAATACAATATATTAACATGTTTGTGTGAGGTGCTGACACAAATTTACTAGCATGTTATGGTGGCTGAAAGAAATATATGATTTTATTTTGATAAAAGTTATTTTTCGTTACTTTGTTTTATTGGAGTCTTAATTAGTCAAAGTGACAGGTATACTGGATACAAGATTGTAGACTAGAAATTGTTATCGGTCACCTAACGAAGTCTTTTATTAGAAAACCTGATTATGACCAGCCAATAACTGGAACATGCCTTAGAAAATTATGATAGATTTAAAAAAATCCTAATTTACGGAAATTAGAAAGGAGTGTATAGATAAAGTTACAGCAAGTGCTCAGTCCAATCAATTCATATTTGGTATATAAATTACTTCATCTTGAAGTGTTTCTTGTACAGTGTGCCAATCACGAAGATGCTGGTATAGGATTTATAATTTATCTTGCAATGTACTTAGTACTCATGTATGTAAAGATGTATGGAAAGTGTGTATAAATAGTGGTAGAAACTGTAAGGATGATTCCTTATGTTATTATTTGCAGTGACTATTATTAATGTGCTTTTAAGACAAAATATTTTTTTTCTCTTTGTGCCAAGGGAACAATTAAAGATTGTGGATTATGCTCCCACTGAGAAACACATGTAGATGATACGAACCTTACGTATCATACGCAATTTGGCCTCTAGGTATATTTTTACCAGTGCTACAAGTGCTCTCACTATTTTGTGACAATGAGAGAGAATTTTTTTATGACTCCTCACAATCCTGTGGGGCGAAATGATCACCATGATTTAAAACAGTGACTTTGAACCTTTGATAAAGTTCACTTTCTCTGTGGTATGAATGGGAATTCTTGAGTCTTACTTCACTACTCATTAAGGTCCACTTTTGTGTGATCCCCTAAGCTGGGAGGACTAATACTGCTTCATGATAAAAGGTTCAGTCCTTTCCCATTCCATGTTGTTTTTCTCACATATTATGTAACTTAAAAATAGAGCTTTATCATGTTTAATAAATCACAGTGGAAAGTACCGACTTTATTTACCCTTATAATAAAATACACATGTCACGGTATTCATGTAACTCATATTTTTGAAAAGTTACAATACACACTAATTATTATCTCTAAACTACTTGATCTATGTTTTAGAATATATTTATGTGTATTGGAACTAGTATGCCATGAAAGAAAACAACCAACCAACCTTGAAATGAATATGCATATCTAAAAAAAACGGTTTTCAAAACTTTTCAGAATGAATCAGCATCATAATTTACCATAAAACATGTGGAAACGAATGATGATGGAAATCTCTGGGTTCTGCAGCAGGATAAATCACTTACTGACACTAATTACTTCGTCAGGAATGAAGTAAAATTAGGATTATGGAAAATGGGAGAGCAAGACAATAATGGTCTAGCATTCGAATAGCTGTCAGTTTCATTTAAGTTACTGCTCAAGAAATGCGTGATAGAAACCGTTATGATTTTTACAATCCCCCAAAATTCAAGATATATATACACATATATCTGTGTGTATGTGTGTGTATGCATATATATATATATATATATATATATATATATATATATATATATATATATATATATATATATATATATATGAATATATACACATGTATGTATACAAATTATGTATGCATATATACATATATATTTATCTAGATATATATGTATAAATATGTGTCTTTATAAGTATATATACACATATATATGTATGTATATATAAATGTATATATATACATATGTATGCATACATTTGTGTATATATATATATATATATATATATATATATATATATATATATATATATATATATATATATATATATATACATACATGTATATATTTATTTATTTATATATGGAACCACGTAATGAATGATAATAACATACTTTATAGTTCCCAGTCAAGTAATTTGTAGACAAAAGCAATTGCAACTATGATTAAAGATTCAGGAAGTCATGTTACCATAACAAGGATTTAATTAGTTTCTGTCGAGACATAAGAATGCGTTTTATACAACCTCAAAGAAAACGGGGTCAGCTTTGAGTACGGAACCCATGTTTTTATGGATCGCTGTTTGTACTTGAGAGGCGTTTTGAGGTAGAATTTACAGATGGTTCACATATTTCATTTCCTAAAGTATTTTTTTTTTACCTTTGCGCTGAAAATATTTTGTGTATATATATGTTAATCATTATATGATTATCAAATCATATAATCAGACGTGGTTAATTCTAAACTGGTATAGGTAAATATTCAAGACTAATTTTCTTTGCAGTTTTGTGTGAGTGTACTTTTATATCCAAATGAGAATTTCATTTGGACAAAAGAAGAAAAAAACAGTATATGTGTGTGTGTGTATCTATATATATGTATATATATATAAATATATACATGTGCGCACACACACACATATACATGTAGAAAAGTGTGTGTGTGTGTGTGTGTGTGTGTGTGTGTGTGTGTGTGTGTGTGTGTGTGTGTGTGTGTGTGTGTGTGTGTGTGTGTGTGTGTGTGTGTGTGTACATATGTATATATATAAATATGTATATATAAATACATATATACATACATATATGTGCATGTGTATATGTAAATATGTATATATATATACATATATATATATAAGTATACATATGTATATACATACATGTATGTATATGTGTGTATGTATATGTATATGTATATGTGTGTATGTATATGTATATGTATATGTATGTATATATATATATATATATATATATATATATATATATATATATATATACATATACATTTATATACATGTAGAAAAGGTAGATGATGCCTTCGTCATTGTTCCCAGAAGGTCGTGCTTACACCATACACTGACGCGGCTTAACTCCGTCCACGAGAAGATCCAGTTCATCGTGGAGGAAGAAGAGGATCAGAAATGACCTTTCTGACACCCTAATCCATCGGGATGACGATGGCCTACGTTTCTCTGTATACAGGAAGCCTGCAAATAAAGAGGATTATATCCATTACTACTCCGCCCACAGCAACAAAACAAAGTCTGGTGTTGCAATTGCTTTTTTTCCTCATCGCACTGAGGATTTGCAGCCCTGACTTTCTTGAGGATGAGGATGCCTTTGTAATTAATTCTTTCATGAAACATAAATATCCCAGAGGCTTCCTGTTAAACCTCGTAAAGAACGCGAACCTACTCGCAAGATCAGACCCTGCACCCGCATCTAACCATTTTCTCATATTACCGCCATGTAACATTTCCCAGGCGATCAGCAGATACCTCGGCAATTGAGTGAAAATCGCCAGCACATCCGGTTTCAGCGAACATCGAGCTGATAGGACTTCCAACGCCATGGTGGTACATATAGATGAAACTGGACATCTACCGAACTGGAATGAAGCAGTAGTCCAGGGAAGTTTGAACAAACTGAAAAGAAAAAGTAAGGAAGCTGCATATATCGCGACGGAGAAAAATGTCAACACAGCATCGGGCAAAGCCAAATTATCCGAGATCGCGGCAGAAATTACGGATAACGAGTGGGAGGTCACAGTCGTCAGGTGTTTCGTCAACTCATGTCTGATGCTATGTAGTTTCTCTGGTGTATGTATTTCTGACAAAGATATATCGAAACCGGTCAAATGCATCTCCTGTATTGTGAAGATATTTATTCTTATTCATACCTTCTACATTCATTCTACATTTGTCAACATGAATGCATACAAACATACATACACATACACACACTCACACACACACACATAGATATAGCTGGTAACCCGGTTTCTAGAGACAGTGTATCAGGGAAGGCAAAGAGAAACCACCTTGTCTGATCTTTCCCTTGTATCTATGGCATGCATCTCAGGAAATGGCCCTCCATCCCACGTAAAGGGGGTGAATATAGTATCATGGAGAAAATGGAAGCCCAAAAGGACCTGTCGTAGGACAGAACATTAGAAGAATACACACACACACACATATATACATATATGTATATGTACGTGTATGATTGTGTACGTGTATAAATACACATACATACATACATACACACACACACACACACACACACACACACACACACACACACACACACACACACACACACACACACACACGCACACATATATATATATATATATATGTGTGTGTGTGTGTGTGTGTATATGTGCGAGTATGTATGTATGTGTGTGTAAACTGCCATGTATATATGCTATACACACACACACACGCACACACACACAC